TGGTTTTAAAAACTAATCATTCTTTAAGAGTGACAGCAGCCACAAGGTTGTTTCAATCAGGAACAGATGAAGAATCGATTATGGATCGCACTGGTCATTGCAGTATTGATGGCATTAGAGCCTACAAAAGAATATCTCAAGATCAAGAAAAAGAAGTTTCATCAGTATTAAACAAATAATATGAACGAAAGGTTGCACTAGATGAAGATAAGGAAAACAGTTACGAGCCATCACCAAGCAAAAAAAGGTCAACTGCAGATACTGTTACATTTACCCTCTCTAACTGCTCAAATATTACTATAAACTATTAAAACAATACCAAATAACACAAAACTATAATTTAAAATACACATGTAATCAATTAATTGTATTATTTAATTTACCGGGAAATTATTTATTCAACCTCCCGGGAATTTACTTATTCAACCTCCCGGGCTACTTATTCAACCTCCCGGGAAATTATTTATTAACCTCCCGGGAAATCAGAGGTAAGTTAGTTATTTATGAACCTACAACCAAGCAATCTGATTGGTCAATTACAACTAGGCATGGTAGAACATTACTAATTCTACATGCATCACTACACTTATTGCATTATTGTGGCATCATTATTATTACAACAGTACTATTGTTATAATAGTCACATGATACTATAACACTTACCTCAACATTGTGTGAAGGAATGGTGTGATGATTGTCACACAGAAACTAGATAATGGAAAGAGTAATGTCAGCAATAAAATAACAATTGTTAATGCCATGTTAGGAGAAATACGTGAATGAGTGCATTGCATATTCTATAAATAAATTAATAATCAGATTACCTCACTCCTAGTAACATGATAGGGATTCTCCTCATCTATTGATCTGTTACTCATTAATAGTACAGGTAATATGGCAATAGGACCTTCATTTCTCAACTCATGAACATCTTGATAAGGATTGGTCTCAGTTTGTGGTTCTTGAATAGTAGCAAAGTCGATAATAATCATTAGTTTATTTATAATAATAAAATATTAATTACCAGAACGTATCAATACTCGTAACTTCATGATTTTCCTCTTATAAACAGTGATACCAACACATACTACTAATATGATCAACATCACCAGTACACTACCACTGACAGTACCAGCCACAACATGTACAATGTTATTGGTATCATTTTCTCCTATTATAAATGATACACAACATTATGAGTATGCAATTTATGTGTTCATACTTGTTGATGAGGTGGTTCCAATTCCAGGTGTAACAATGACTGTAGGACTAACAGTAATACTGATAGTAGACTGAGTAGGAGGAGTAGTACCTAATGGAGAGGAATAACTATTTTATCATGTCATAGTATATTTACTTTCACTCATAATAATAAATGAGGCGGAGGCAGGGAGCAACATGTTAACAATTTCAACCAGTGTAGGATAATAAACAGCAGGTTCATATTCATTAACAGTGTCCATATCATAAGCAGTTACATTATACACTCCACTGGCTGATAAAGATATCAGTGCACTATTATCTAATCCAATTATAGTAAAGGATTCATTTCTTCCACTAGCTGTGTGTGTAAAAGTAACATGACATCCATCAGCAGTTGATCCTGATACAAACACACACTGTACACTAACTGATCCATTGGTATATGTAGATAATAGCAGGTCTTGTACATTGTATGTAGCTGCATACAAAAAGAGATAAAGTGAAAATGTGTAAGACACAGTTATACTGAGTACATGTGTGAGAAAAACTTATACTCTTACATATATTGGTGTATTTGATATCTTTAACTTTATCCCTCAAGTTCTTAACTTCAGTTTTCAATCGATATTTTTTATGAGGTTTTAATGAGACACTTTTATTATCAGCACTAAGTACTTCATCATTAACCAGTACAGAACCATCATGTTCATCTTTAACAAACAGTTTTCTCTCACAATGTGGTGATGGCATGGAGCTAACCTATATAATTAATAAAAATAATATTATTGTAAATAACACTGATGAAAACTACCTCAATAGAAACACTTTTTATTGAATCCTCAGTAACATTGACACTATAACCTATGAAATCAGTAGATTAACTGTAGCATTCACATTATTGTATACTTACTTCCATTATATTTACTGATAGTATTATTAACTGATTTATATTGACCCACTAGTGCTGTTACACTGATGTTAAATGTATCACATTCTGTAATATTGGGAACTGTAACAATTGTATTAGGTGTAATTGTATCCAGTATGATATCTTCATCTTCCTCATCAGTAACTAATACATGATAGGTAATAGGAGATCCAGCAGGGACATCATCAGAGAAATAGACAGGGCGTGTCCATGTTATTAATAATGAATTATTTGTAGCAAAATTATATTTAAGATTTTGAACCAATGATACACCTACATGTACATGTAGTAGAAATTACTGTGTATAATTATAATTATTATTAATGACCACTAACCTCTGATAGCTAGTTCACTATTTGATACAGTACGGTTAAAAGGATCGAAAGTAATAACTTCACACCCAATTTGCAAATCATTATTAATAGGTATAGCATTTACTGTCAGTACTGATGAGTAATCATTATTATTATTATTGGTTGTAATGACTGTTATTTCTCTTTGTTGTGCAACGGAGTCAGTTAGTGGAGCACTTTGAATCCACCAATTCAATATGTCACCAGTTCCTTTACAATTAAATGTTGGTGTTGTAAGAGGAGGAACTGTTACTGATACTGGAGGCACTGTAATGACTAAAACAAAAATAGTTTTGATATTTATTATCACATAGATGTAAGTAACACACAACAATCACATATGTACTGTATATAATACATTTCATCAATCAAAAACTCGAATTTCTAATAATTATAAATTCACACGTAGCAAAATTTCTTCAAATGAAATGCCCACACTAACTCGAAAGTTTTCTCACAACATAATAATGCCATTTACAACTGTACTAATAACCATAGATACTTTCCAGTTCAAAATCTATTATGATGAAATACGGCACCCAAACTCACTAGAAGCTTCAGAGTGACATCGGAACGAAGACAGGCCTATTAAAATATATAAACAAAAGGCTATCATGACAAGAACGGGTTTAGAAGTAGGGTCGTATAGTAGAGAAAAAAGAAGGATAATAAGTCTTTTGAAACACCCCCGTAAACTAAACACACGTATGAAAATTGACAAATTTTAGTTGGCCCGGGGCGCCTGAGTGAGAGGAGGGTACACTGACCCCGCACTACTTCACTCTAAACGGAACTATTGTGAAGGCACTATAAGCATCAAAATATTTTACATACATTTAACATCTTATGCAGCCTTCACGAAAGGAAAGGCAAAGAAGTCTGAGCTATTTCCTGTATTATATAGGAAACAGAAATATGAAAAATCATACTTTACTGTGAAATCATCATGCAGTCATGAATAATCTTAGGTGAAGGGCGTAAGTTCTTAATTACTGGTACAAGCATATTATTCCTGGTACATATCTATGGTACAAGCATATGCACACTCGTATGCATGTGATTAATGTGATGTATTTATTTTAGCAAGAGTAGATGATTTTAGTTAAAAAAAACTATAGTAACATCTTTAAAAATCAGCCTCAATCCTACATACAGGCTACCACCTAAATACTAATAGTACATATCTAAACATATAGAGAGTTTAACTAGTTAAGGTTAGTTGTACAGGATTTTCAACAGGGTACATGATGATAAATAATGCTTGATCACACAATTTGCTAAAAAGTCAATAATTCATCAACTTGAAGAATGATGATCATCTCCATCAACCTATTAAAAGCAGTTGTAACTAGTTGATCAATAAAATTAATATAAAGACAGAATTACAAAAAACATTACACATGTACCTTATAATGAGATTCAGATACATTTGAGTCATTCTTAGCTAATTCATTTGGAATCATTTTTTGCGTAAGGACAATTTCTAAATTTGTATAATTATAATAAACTACAATAAATACAGTAATAATTGAATATCACCTTTCCTTTGAATCCTTTCATCTTTATCATTAGAAGGAACTGCGTCACAAATCTCATAATCTGTATCTGTTAGATCTAACACACCGTAAGCTAGCTGTCTGTGCATTTTAGCGTAGTATATCTATGATTTTAGTGCTCTATAAATATAATTAGCCTATTCATAGACTGACTCATAGATTTTGCAGGCTTAGTTTGCAGTCCAGGCTGCAAGGCAGCTTTTATTGCTGCCTTTCCAAGGCAGTAGACTAGCAAAAGTCTTCTCCTATCACTCAGATAGGAGAGTCTTCTCCTATCAGATTGCTTTCAATCCAACCAAAAGCTTGCTACAGCTACACACAAAATGCATACAGAATTATAGTCTGGCCTCACCCCTTCGCTTTTGAAAGGTACCATATTGAAAGGTATTATAATTATTCTTTTTCAAATAATTGTGTTAATTCAGACTGCTGTCTTTACCAGATCAGAAGGAGGAAATGCACCACAAATCTCATGATTTGTATCTGTTCAGTAGATCTAACTCATAATAAAAAGAATAACCATGGGAGAGGCTTGTTTGTCTTGTCCCCTAATCTCATTCTCCACTGCCCTGATGAGAACATTAATATCTGTATAATTATGTAATGTCTTCAGCTTTACTGCTTATCATTGATGTATTACTTACATTTAGGGTTTTTCCACAGGATTTTGGCATAGTGCTCATGCAGGTTACAGGGTTTTATAATATAAAATATAATTTTATATATAAAATATACAGCTCAAAAACCACTAAGAGAAAATTTTATAATTTTTTCCAATACATATACATATATTTTAGCAAATTTCAGCTGATTCCAATCAAAATTGAATTTTTTACAAATTTTGACAAAAAATGATTAGAAAAATTTTAGTTTTTATAATTTTTTCTGATATACATGTTTTTATGTTACATAGCAATTTTGAGCTGATTCTGATCAAAATTGGATTTTTAATGAATTCTAAAGTTGCTCCAAAAGCCATGCACATGCACTATGCACATCAGGGAAACCCTGCTTACATTACTGTCAAAAGAATGTTTCCCCAATCCTGAGTCATCCTAATATTAAAACATTACATTATGACAGGTTGACAGTACAGCATATATGAATAGTATGGGAAAGTTTGGTTACTGTTTAGATATACATACTATGACTGTACTAGTAATTATTATGATTACTTACTAAACCTGAGATTGTTTTGGCAGTACAGAGTAAATCATTGTAAAGCCTGGTTTACACTCGCCATAAAATGCAACGCAAATGAACACAAAATTGAAATGTGATTAATTTTGTGTCAACTTCAAAGTGTTTTTGTGTCAAAAAGTCAAATTGCCCACACACTTTTGACCATTTCGTCAAGCGTAAACCAGGCATGATACTAAACATTTGTTGTACTTGATCATCGATGCCTATATTGATGTCAGGACCAAGTTCAAGAAAAACATGAGTCACTCGATGAATTTTCATTTGCTGCTATATACCATTATTCAAAATATAAGTATACCTCTACTTTTAGAAGTATTCACCATAAAATTAGCACTATAGGAAAGCAAAAAGGCCAACAACAAAACAGCAGAAATAATATACGTGTACATGTATGCACCTATTATGAATAATATTTACTACCAGGTGGGGGGAGGGGGTTATTCTACTATTGAATACAGGCCACAATTTAGCTTGTCTGGTAGATTAAACAGTAGTTTAAAACCAGTGATAATGTGGTATAATGTCACTAATGATAACAGTCTTGTTACTTGCATGGAATTGATGTATCTAACAAGAACTATAATCTTAGCACAGTTAAACAAAATTAATTTGCACTTGCTACAATACTGGAGAAGGTGACAGTGATGTCAATCATCATGTCATTATTTCTATACCAGAGTGTAATAATTGCAGCTATTGCAAACAATATTCATACATTAATGGACAACTGTGATACTATAAATACACCCGTAGTATAACTCCATATATGGTCATTTATTCAAAAATTAAAAATACACTACAGGTAGGTCAGGAAGGCGTGAGTGAGTTATGATAGTAGCATTATATTGTGTTTACATTTAATACACTCATGTATTATAAAAGTATTATGTGTATTGATAGTATGTCCACAATGTATTGTGTACATAAACATATTGTATATTATATACAGCATGCCTATAGTATGTGCATATACTATACTATAGTATGTTTATAATAAAGGAGAGAGAGATGGCATTTACATGCTTCCTTCTAAAATACACGTAAGTACAAAATGTTACACATTACATAGTGAGTGTCCATCTGTTCTTTCACAAGTTAAAATAAACTGCACATTATACAAACTCATTATTACTACCATCACTAAAACCAAGATTTAAGATGCTTTTTGATACAAACTGGTATAACAAAAGTTCTCAATGCTTTACAAGTGATAATCAAATATTAATTAAGCAAAACAAAAAGAGAGAGAGAGGATGGTATTATGTAAACACGAGGTCTAAAATGTTCTCTGGAAAGTGCACGTGCTTGTCACATAACAATCACAATAGATT